TTACCTAGGAGGTTAATAAAGATTTTCCATGTAGAAACTTAGTAAAATTTTCTGATGACATCAAAGTATTTTTAATCTTAAAATCAAAATTACTTTGCATGTTGGATAGTCAACATTCAAAAAAATAAAATATATGAGAAAAACATTAATTAAAAAATCGTAAAACTTAATACAAAAATCTGATATTTTCTGTACAAAAGCCTTGTAATGTTTACTGATGATATGCATAATTATATGAAGATACGCTTACTGTAAGAAATGTTAAAACATGAAAAGTATAACGAGCACAAAATGGTTATGAGGTCAGTTCCTGGGACTGACCCCAGAGTGAGAATGTGTTAGAATAAAAACATATATAAATATCTCATATTTTAACATATTTCCGTATGGAACTTACCCTACTCATCGGTGGCATCCTGTGTTTTTTCCTTCTTCGTCTATGACGACCATGAATTTTAGACACACTGCTCCCCTCTGTTGTGGTTGATATTCTGAAATGCAGAATACTTACTGCAAATATAATTCTAGAAACAGTGACTCAATCATGTTCTTACCATTAACATAAAACACACTTGTTATTACCATCTGTTAATAAAAGTTCATGTTGTATAATTCAACACTAAATATTTAGCACATGTTAATGATCACTCTTAAGTTTACATTTAATTCATAGTGTTCACTGAGTAGGTAAGAATATATATATAAATACAGTAATATATTGCAGGACAAGTAATCATTTCATATAAGCATAGCAACTTAATTAGCAGCACATAGATACGTAACTGCATACATTAATACTTGCGATATAAGCCCTTTGCTCTCTTTAGAGCAGGATATTTGCAGGATTTATTTATGAAAGTGCGTGGACTATCCCTTCAAATACCCTGTATCATGCTACACACTTATTGACCTCCTCTTATCCCTGAAGGTCTAAATTCCCTCAGTGATGATCAGATCTGAATTCTGGGCAGTATAAGGTAGGACTTCTACTGTTCTGACTGTATGTTACTTCTCTTGATAGGGTTTGGTCTTATGTTTAGGATCATTATACTGCTGAAACACAAAACCCTGGCCAATTAGATGTTTGTGTTATTTAGAGCAAAGCAATATTAGGCTATCTGCTGTGTCCACTGCATGGAATCAAACCCCCAAATTTTAGCATTACTGCCATCTCACTGAGAGACATTCTTAATAGAATGCCTTAGTGTATTAGGATCTGTTTGAACTTCTCTGCTGTCAATGTGTCCTCAATTTTTACTTAGTCTCAAATACAGTTGAAGGAGATGTTATCCCAAAAGCTGCCTAGATTCACCCCCATATTGCTCTGTAGTTGTTGTACTTCAGAGGTGGTACTGACCCCGTTTCCTTTTTTGAACATGCCACTGTTGATTACTACTCACTGGTAAACAACACTCTCCAGCAGTCTTTTTCATTCCACTGTTACATTTTCATCACCAATTTCAGTCTTTTCTTTTGGTTGATTCTCCACAACAAAAGTTTTCATGCAGCTGAATGTTCAATGAGATTGCGCTGAGCCAAATTGTTTACTACTGTCCTCGGGTCACAGACAACCCATATCTGAAGCAAGGTTATTGGCCAGATCCTGAGATGCTCAAGATCATGGTGGATCATTACTGGATTCCTTATTAACAGTACCTATTTCCCAAACCTTTAAAACATCTTGCGTACATGCAGTTTGGAATCAATCTGTCTCGTAGAATAATCCTCAACATCCAATACAGTAGCTGCTATACATTTGTGGTGAGGTATTTCCTTACTGTAGGCCATGCCTTCTTCAATACACATACTGAGGAGGTGGTAAAAATGGCTATGTTTAGACCATGGTTAACCCTGCATGGCACTCTCTTATTGGTTAGACAGTAATCATTGACCGAGTTCCACATAAACAAAACTGTTCTGCTATATTGTCAGGAATTGTATAGTCCATGGGGTTGGCACTCTCTTATTGGTTAGATGGTGATCATTCACCGAGTTCCACATAAAACTGTTCTACTATGTTGTCAGGAATTGTATTATCCAAGGGGTGGCTGGCAGGTACTCTACATTGTTATGATGTGAAGGCCTTTTTCCAGCTGGCAAAGCATGTTTATAATTAATTATAGCTTTACTCTGGATTGAGAAGAACTTGTTGTCGGGAATGGATATGATGAACACAGCATGTTACTATTATTATACACTCTTCTAATTCAAAATGTAAAAGGCCTAATACTAATGTCTGATGACAAGTATCATTAGTTAAGTGTTGTACATTGTTTCTAATTACATTTGTATGTAGTTTCCATATTTATTTTCACTACTGTATAAAAAAATGCAATCATTTCTAAACATAAGTTATTAAATGAGAACAATTAGGACTACCTGCTAATGGACTCTTCTTCAGAATCAAGAAAGCTTGTAGTTTCAATGTCACTTGTCACCATAGATGAAGATTCATAATGGTGTCCACTTCGATGGCGATCTCCTCGACCATGACCACCATGCTTGCTGTGGCCATTGATACGAGCTATAAAAAAAAATCTTTAAGTTAATAAATAATTATGAAATTATATTATATTTTTAACAGTGACATCAAAAGGTAAAGAAAAGCTCAGACAATGTCCAAATGAAACTTTCTACAACTGAGTGAATCATTACTTTTTACTTCTTAACCACAAAAACAAAAAAGTCTTAACACCTAAATTAGTATGAAAATAATTAAAGCTAGTGTTCAAGTGGTCCTTTTTTTTTAATTATTGGAAGTTATACATTGATTTAACTTCCTAACTGTTGAATAATCTTTAATCACCGACACACACACACACATGGAAGAAATATACTAAGTTCTTGTAAACTCTGGCACATCTTTGGTTTAACCTAATAACATGTAGATGATTTTTCCTGTACAGAAAATGTATGGATTAACACACATATAATCTGGCAAGGAAAAGAATAACCCAAACCTAACTGAAATCCACCCACTACTGGGCATGTTTTTAATTCACACTTCTTACTACCTGTCAGAAGATTTTTGCTCACCAAGCAGGTAAGGAAAAGGCTAACTTAAGTCTAGCTGATGTCCTTCCACTACTGGGTGTGGTTTTAGTTCACACATCTTGCTACCTGCTAGGTGATTTTTGCTCAATACGCAGATAAGAAAAAGGCTAACTTAAGTCTAGCTGATGTCCTTCCACTACTAGGTGTGGTTTTAGTTCACACATCTTGCTACCTGCTAAGAGATTTTTGCTCAACAAACAGGTAAGAAAAAGGCTAACTTAAGTCTAACTGATGTCCTTCCACTACTGGGTGTGGTTTTAGTTCACACATCTTGCTACCTGCTAGGTGATTTTTGCTCACTACGCAGATAAGAAAAAGGCTAACTTAAGTCTAGCTGATGTCCTTCCACTACTGGGTGTGGTTTTAGTTTACACATCTTGCTACCTGCTAGGTGATTTTTGCTCACTAAGCAGATAAGAAAAAATATTAACCTAAGCCTTACTGAAATCTTTCCACAACTGGGTGGGTTTTGTTTTATTTCAAACTCTTAATTCTGATATTGTCTACCTGGAAAACTGTACTGAGGGTAGTAATTTCAAAGTTTGATAAACTGATCCTTACCATGATCATCATGAAAATACTTATCTCGATGCTTGGAAGATCTGTGGCCATGTCGATCTATAAACATGGAAACAAAAATAAACAAACTGTCTGATATATACACATACAGACATATATGTTATGACACACTTATTGATCCTTCTCAAAAAATTAATAAAAACCTTAAGTTACTGGAAGTTTTTTACAGTAGCATTTGTTTTGATTACAAACCTAAAATAACTACCTGCAACTATTTCTAATATTGAACTACTGCCCAATCAGTAGCACCCTGCCACCTAAACTAAGGGATTGATTGACACTTTTATAATGCACACAGGTTGAATATTTTTTTTGTATTGCACAGAATCGAACCAAGCTCTCCAGCTTTATATTTATAGATTTACAATAGGGCCAACCCATGCCCTACAGTACCTACACACACACCAATCTTAAAAACAGTGATATTATTAAGTTGCAAAAACAAAGGGGGAAAAAAACAAACTAAAACGTATTACGAAAGGCCGATAAGACCGCAAGTTCAGAGGGAAAATATGCAGGAAGAATTTTTTGCAGCGTATATACAAATGGTAGGAATTGATGATTGTTACTTTTATATTTAAAAAAATCATTCTAATAACTCACACTGTATCACTTTAAAGTTTTATTACATTTCGAAGAAATATTTCCAGGCTTTTCAGCAGTGTCTGTTGCTGCCAATCTTTTAAAATAGACTATTTATAGCAAAATCTCTCTTGCAGAGCTGTTATATTATAATTAAGTCTTATAGAACCAATGTGTGAGGAAAATCTTTCTCACTTTGTACTGGAGAATATTCAGGTGCCACAGGCAACAACAAGTGATTGCTTCTGGGCACATGTAATGACAGACACAACAAACATCTGAAAATTATAGTATTTTAGAAATACACTGTTTAACAGGCTGAAGCACTAAAAAACAGGCTGTTATAGGCTTGTTGAGCAATTATACAGTTTATAGAGACTTGCTGGGAGATCTGTACTTACCTTTTCGAGAACTAATCACAGACTCAGTTTCTGTACAAGTAGTGTCAGCCAAAATCTCTCTGTGGTCTACTCCAGTTGTGCTAAAATAAAACAACAACAAAATAACCAATCAATGTTTCAAAAAATCAGAAAAAATGTTTAAGGTTACAGGATTTTATGGTAAACAGCAAGCACGGTAGGTGAATATCTGCACTTTTATAAGACTTATAATTTTCCTATACTAAAAATGTATTTCCGAGAGATACTTAACCCCACTCATATAAATGGTTATTCTCGTTCAGTGCTGCCCTCTATATGAAAAAAAAATTATGCATGCCACAAGTCTTTTACCTCCCCTCCATTCAAACTGACTGATTTCAATGTGTCTTTCATTGCAAATCATCATGCAACAATCCTTCACCAATAAGAGTGCGACACTCTCTCAATATGCACGTGACTATTCAATTCTACCTAACCATCACTTCGAGTTTTGGCAGAAATTGGAAGCACTGATGTTTAGTGGGGAAGAAGAGTGGAACCAATTTGATTAACCAGCCAACTCAAGCTGCCTCCAGCTGATGAGTGTGACAGGCAGACTCCTGTTCAGAACGAGTTAACAGTAGCCAGTCGCCCATATAATGATGAAAGCGCAACCCAAAAGCATGTAGGTGATGAGCAAATGCTCGGACCACTGGACAAAAACATACAGGGCCAAAGCAAGCCTCAAGAGTAGTGTGTGAAACTGATAAATCATGCAGTGATGAACAAACAGAAGATACAGTCGCAACTGCTGAGATATGGGACACACAAGGAAGCATTTGCAGCATTCATCTCGGTCATCCATGAACCTGGAGAAAAGGCCCAACTGAGGGTGAGAAACAATTCAATGGTAAAAAAATTAGGTAAAATTGAATAGAAGTCACATGCATAACAAGAGTATGTTGCACTTTTATTGATGGAGGATTGTCACATGATGATTTGCATGAGAGAGGCATTGGAATCAGTCAATTCCAAGGGAGGGGAGGTAAAAGGCTTGTATCATACAGAGGGCAGCACTGAATGAGAATGGCTATATATTTGTCCTGAGGTGATGTACGATATCAAAAATTTATATAATTGAGGTTTGTAACATACACTGACATTTTTTATACTCATCACACGTATCCAAACAAATGTACACATATCTGTCTAACAAATATATCAAAGTTCCATGCATACATAAGTCAATATTTATCATTTTATTTTCTTTGTCTGCTCTACCTGTCCTAATTTAAGACATATTAACTCTTTCTGCACAGGTACCCTTTACTGCGCATGACACAACGTTTTAGTGTCTTACATTCAAAATTTTATTAAACTACTTTTTGTTTATGTTACACCAATTAAAATAGCATAAAATCTTAGCTAATAATCCATATTTTAATAGTATACAAGTTTTCAGTTTTAATTCTAAAAGGGAATATATATAAAAAAATCCTGAATTTCCACTAGTGTAACACACATGACAAATTTTGTCTTAGCATTCTCATCATCCCTATTTTATCCATCACCCCTCGAAAATGTATGAAATTAAACGTAAAATGCTCTCTATAAAATCGTTATTGCTCAAACAGACCATAATTTTTATGGCCTTCAATTTTGTTCTGTTACAGAGCTATCAAAGAGAAAATCAGACCCCTCCTGTCACATCCTCTCTTTCACAATTTGTTGATAGTTCTCTCTTATGTTTCATTATATATTATTTATAACCAATAGAAAGTCAAGGTTTTCATCTATCAAATGGCGTTTTGTATAACATTGTGTTATGAACAGATAACCGTCAATGTCACTCAGAGTAGCAATTTCGTTTCTGTGGGAAAGTTAACGACTAGCTTGGATGAATTTGTAATGGCTCTTGTCTCTTAGTTAGAAAGCCAGGAAAATTTTTAGAAGTAAGTGAATTTGGCTACTTTTTGCACGTTATTGGTCTATATTCTTTAATGTATTATTCAAGTAAATAAAAATTGTTAAGTGCTTTACCATAATCGCTAAGAAAAATCAGGCTTAACTCTACTCGAAAATTTAGGGCAAGAAAAAAGAAGATTGGGTAAGTACTTTATTTCTTGTTTTTCATAGTTATTCTTTATTTATTATTATAAAAGTAGCTAAAATTAAAAGTATGGATCTTTTTAAGTTATTTATGACTAGAACAGGTAAAATAAATAATAATAATAATAATATCATTAAAATTGTTCATGAAGCACGCATATGAGCAGCTTGTGACCTGCACGTTCCCCCGAGTGATTTACAACTTATAATGGTGCGGATAGCAGTTAGACACAGTTCATGGGACAATAAAACAATAAAATTTAATTATAAATAAATGTATAATGTTACG